AGGACGGGGCCCAAATGGCCTTATGGAGAGTTGACCTACACGACAGTGATAAAGCTAGGTAAATAAATAGTACGTACCTGTTCAGAGGCGAAGGAGAATCACAAGGCTCGTTCAGGCGTTAATTGTCGTGAATGTAAGTAGTGTATGAGAAGTGTATATATGTGTAACCTGAATAAGCCCCTTTTAATCAGCAACAATCCTGACTCCAGCACCGCCACCCTATGGAGTATCACTCCAGCGGCGTCACTCGGTGTCACTCAAAGTCTAGCGTCCATTAGCACAAATCTATAATCTAATACAAACGCTGGTTCTCGCGGTTCACAAAGTTTAGCTGTTTTAACCGACACAGGAAAATATCTCCGAGTTAAATCCAATGGCACAAGGCAACTCGTTAACGCGAATTAATATTGTCAGAGTGCACTTATCCATGCAACCACTATACCACTTGACGTTCAAACTCAACTAAATCCCGTTAATTATAATCAAAAACGTAACACGCGGCACGACTGATGAGCGGTGGGTCAAAGTTAACTTCCGTTCACTCAGCCACAAATTATTTCGAGAATCGAACGCGACCTTCTAAGGCAGTGATCACGCGGTCCGAGACTCACTGCAATACTTAGACAACCGAATCCGAGACGGTCTTCACGAAACACAATTTAAGTAGCGAAGTAACGCGCACAAATACTGAAAATCTAGACCAGAAACCGAAACTGGTCGCACGAAATCGCTGCCACGGTCATCACAAATACGTTACGTTGCGACGGCACCGCTGCATTAAAGCTACTGTTATACTACCACCCGCCGCCTCCGGCAACAAAAAACTGCCCGATCTCCCACGCGTCCGGCGCGTGCGGGGAAGCGCTCGCGAGCCGCGTGACAGCCGGTGCTAGGTACATCGGAGGAGCGCGCCGACGTCTGGGTATGTCTAAGTAAGGTAATGTAACACAACAAATACAGAACGCGAACGCGGAATACTTCAACGCGTGAACGCCTTCTGTCTGATAGATCCCTTTAATATCTAGCAAATTTAACAAACATGAAAAAAACAAAAACACAAATGTAGACACAATCCTGGTATTGTTCTTAAAAATATATAAGTCAGTGCAGTTTTGGAGAAGGAAACGGGGGAATACGCGATGACGATGATTATTCAGTCATTTTTTCATAGGTACAATCAGTCCCAGATGCAATTGTTATCTCAATTCTGTTCGGTCGTTCGGGCACGCTATCAGTCAGAGTAGTAGGAGTCAGAATGTGTCAACTAAGACACGTATGGCAATTCATAATGCTGTGTTAGTCCCTACTTTAATGTATGGTAGTGAAAGTTGGGTCTGGCAGAAGAAGCATGAGAGTAGAATAAATGCTGTAGAAATGCGTTCCTTAAAGAGTATGCTAGGGCTGAATCTGAATGACAGGGTGAGAAATAGTGTGATAAGAGAAAAGTGTGGTTTGCAAGATGACGTTGTGACAAGGATTAAAAAAGGAATGCTTCGGTGGTTTGGTCATGTAGAAAGAATGAACGAAACCTGTTTTACAAATTAGAAAATCTTAGACCATAGTCGTTTGTTCCAACATCCATCTGGTGATGAATTTTCTTTCACCGTACACATATTAAAATGTATAAAAAGCAATTAAATTATTGATGAATAATATTATTATATTATTTTTAAGAAAGTAAACGAGCACACAGTCCACCTGATGGCCAGAGAATGATGTGTCTACATTTCTCTTCGATTAAGAATCACATCTGAAGACTTATTTATGGAAGAAGAGGTAAACCAGCATTCGGCTTAAACGAGCTTCGGTCCGGGAAAACGCTGGCGATAGTAGATTCCACAATGTTGTTGTGAGTGGCAGAAAATTCCTCGTAAATCGCACGTAGTAGACTGCCTACTATGGAGATGATGAGGGCGGAATTTTTAGTTCTGTCGCTGTCTACGATGCTGAAATTCAACAGCTGGAATACGCTGCTAAAATTGTTCCGACCAATTCCTCTGAGCGCTCCCTGTGGTATGTATATGCGATGGAAAATGCACAGAGATGCAACGTCTTTCCGCAAGGCTAGTGGATTAAGTCGATCGGATCGGCTGCACTATAGGTCAGCTGATTGGGACGGGATGCGGTCTTTTTTTGCATCCTACCCTTGGGGCGGGTTTGCTTCTCGCCGGAAGATCCCAGCGTTGTTGCCGATTCTGTTGCTGATGTGGTACTTCAGGGTATGGAACTTTTTATTCCATCCTCTGTGGTGCCCATCGGAGGCAGATCCCAGCCATGGTTTGGTCGCTCCTGTAAAATAGCATCACGCTATAAGCAGGAGTGCTACCGGGCCTGGGCTGACGCATTAATGTCTCGGGATGTAAGCACCAGCGCACTTAAAAAGAAGTATAATTCCGCCTCCAGGTTCTTCGAAAGCGTCATTGCCAAGGCAAGGTCTGAGCACATCGGCAGAATTGGCGAGAAGCTAGTTCGCCTTCCTTCGGGAATCCGTGCATTCTGGTCTCTCGCCAAGGCTGTCCAAGCGAACTTCTGTCAGCCATCTCTTCCATCTCTGCACAGAGAGGACGACTCACTGGACCATGCCGTATAGGAGAAAGCCGATTTGTTGAGCTCTCTCTTTGCGTCCAACTCGACTCTAGATGACGGGGGGAACACACCGCCGATCATCCCGCGATGTGAGTGCTCCATGCCGGATGTGCGGTTTACACAGCGCTCGGTTCGCAAAGCATTCTTCTCCCTGGACGTCAGCAAGTCGAGTGGGCCCGATGGTAGTCCCTCCCATTGTGATGAAGACGTGTGCTCCGGAGTTGGCACCGGTTTTAATGCGTCTTTTCCGGTACTCCTACTCTCAACGCGTAGTCCCGAATTCATGGAAGACAGCTTTGATCCACCCGATGCCTAAAAAAGGTGACCGCTCAGACCCGTCCAACTACAGGCCTATCGCCATCACCTACTTGTTCTCCAAAATAATGGAATCCGTTATAAACTGCCAGCACATGAGGATTCACCTTACCTTGAGGATCACTAGCTGATTAGTGACCGCCAGTACGGTTTTCGTCGGGATCGATCAGCTGGTGATCTTCTAGTCTATCTGACTCATAGATGGGCGGAGGCAGTAGAGTCCAAGGGGGAGGCATTGGCCATTAGTTTGGACATAGCGAAGGCCTTCGATCGGGTCTGGCACAAAGCGCTTCTTTCGAAGCTTCCGTCCTATGGGCTTCCCGAGAAATTGTGCAATTGGATCACCAGTTTCCTTGCTGATCGGAGCATCAAGGTTGTTGTAGACGGTACATGCTCCGACTACAAGCCTATTAACGCTGGTGCATGCTCTGATTTCAACCTCTTCAACACCGGTGTTCCACAAGGCTGCGTGCTATTACCAACGCTGTTTCTCCTGCATATCAATGATATGTTGCTAACTGGTAGCATTCATTGCTATGCGGACGACAGCACTGGTGATGCCTTATATACCGGTCGTGCCAATATTTCTCGGGAAAACGTCGCCGAGTTCCGGAACAAACTTGTGTCTGAAGTCGAAGTCTTTGCTGAACAAAGTCTCGGATTGGGGGCGACTAAATCTAGTCTAGTTCAATCCCCAGAAGCCACAAGTTTGCACGTTTACCGCTAAAAGGAACCCCTTTGTCGTTTCTTCTCAGTTTCAATGCACTCCCTTTGCTGCCTTGGCGTCGACATATCGAATAGTGTGCAGTTTCGTGGTCACTTGGAAGGCAAGGCCAAATTGCCTTCTAAAAAGCTTGGCGTGCTCAGTAGAGCGAGACAGTATTTCATGCCGGCACATCGCTTGCAACTTTACAAAGTGCAAGTTCGGAAATACTGCTCTCACATGGAATACTGTTCTCATCTCTGGGCCGGGGCACCGTACTGCCAGCTCCTTCCACTTGACCGCTTCCAGCGCAGAGCTGTTCGAATAGTCGACGACCGAGTTCTTTCTGATCGGCTCGATACACTGGCACTGTGTAGAGATGTTGCATCTCTTTGCGTATTTTATCGCATCTATCACGGGGACTGCTCTGAGGAATTGTTCGGACTAATTCCAGCCGCTCAATTTCACCATCGCACATCGCGACAAAACTCGCGTTACCATCCATACCATCTGGATGATTGGCGGTCCACCACTGTGCGATTTAGAAGAAGTTTTCTCCCTCATACAACTTCCTTATGGAATCTATTACCACCAGCGAATTTTCCGGACCGATACGACTTAGGAACCTTCAAGAAAAAAGCTTACACCTTTCTAAAAGGCCGGCAACGCAACTTCAATTCACCTGGTGTTGCGGTTGTTCATGGGCGGCGGTAGTCACTTACCATCAGGTGAGCCGCATGCTCGTTTACTCCCTCTTCTTTAAAAAAAATATAGTTGTAGCACGAATGGGTCGGCTCGACCGGGGAAGGACCACGCTCTCACAGAATACCAGCGTAAAATAGCAGTTTAATGCTGCTGTGTTTCGTATGGTGAGTGTAGAGAACCGGAGACCTTTTTTACTGGAAAAGAGGCATTCCATTTAAGTCCTCATGGGTGACAACGCATCTGCATTTTGATTTGTAATTGATGACAGATGTGGACGTCTATGGGCCACAGCTGATTGCTTACCATCAGGTGGACTGTGTGCTCGTTTGTCACCCTTATGTTATAAAAAAAAGTTTTATCATGGTTTTATCTGCTAGTCGTCCGTATTGCTCTATGTTGTGTTATAATTAATAAAAAAATATAAAAAATCTTGGATGCCTTGGCAGGTCACGTCACCCCATTCAGCGTCACACCATAGCTTCTAAAGGATTGCAATGTTGTTTCTCGTTTCGTTTCAGGAGCGCCGCTATATTTCCCCTTTGATATAAAATCGGTTAGGCGACCTTAACTTAAAATTCTATTAAAAATGATATATATGAATTTTTTAATATAAGTTATTAAACAAAGGTTAAATTCTGTTATAAGGAAAAATAACTTTTTTATTTAAAGCGTTTCATCAACTTACATATTATTACAATCTCAACCAATATGTATTGCTTCTGATTCTACTATAGTCTGTTAGTGCTTCAGTGGGTCCTACAGCTGCAACGACTGGACATTTGTCATAAAGATACTTGTAGCAAACAGCCTTTATATCGTTAGAAGAAATATTATCAATATCCATAATTGCCTCATAGAGTGGTAAAATACAAGTGCGATACAAAATGGACCGACCTATTTTATGACTAGTTTCGACAACGCTTGCAGATTTTGAAAGTAAATTGGTCTTTAACTGATTCTTGGCCCTCTCAATTTCTTCATCTGTTATCATGGTACACAGTCTCATCCATTCATCTTGTACTACAAATACCATATCATCTAGAGTTAATCTTGGTGCTATAAAATATGCACCCCATAAGGCGGTGTCCTTATAAGATATGTAGAATGATTTGTAAGCATCGCATAGACCTTCATAAGATGCCGCTCGTGCAACACGTGTTCCATGACCTAGTCCCCCAAGTTGTGATTTATCCCAACCACCGACCACTGCACTAGCTAATTCCATTATAGTATAATCGTCATGACTGAAAGATGGTCCTTCAAACGCTATTGCAACGTGCGCCATAGGTTGTGAATCGTCTCTATATCGAATATCCGAACCAGTGTATCGAAATTTATTTGATTCATCAACTTTTACATTTACCAATTTGCTTAAATATTTGTTTGCTAAGTCTTGTATTTGATGGTGATTTATTCCGCCAATTGCTGTCAAGACCATTTTTTCAGGTGTAAACCTTTCGTATATAAGTTTACAAAGTAATTTCGCATTAAATTTAAAAATATTGTTACTCGGTCCCATTACTGTCTGTTCTAAGGGCGTTCCTTGAAAAGCAGATAAGTGCAAATAATCGAATAAAATATTTTTAATATTTCTTTCATGTTCAAACATTTCTGAACACACTATTTGTTTTTCCGATTCAATAACTGAATAATTTAAAGCATTGTTAAAAATACAATCTAATAAAATATCAAATACAAGAGGGACATCTGACGACAAACATTCTACGAAATATGCAGTCATTTCACGTGTAGTGAAACATTGGAATTTTGCACCAGTAGTCAATATTAAGTTTTCGAGGACTGCTGTGTTTCTACTTTTTGTACTTTTAAATGCAACGTGTTCCATAAAATGCGTTATACCATTTTGGCTCTTAGATTCATAACGTGATCCTGCATCTATATATAATCCTATACAAGTGTTGCAGCTTTGCCTTTCTTCTGTAGCTACAGTCAGTCCATTTTCAAGCTGTGAACATTGTGTTTGAGGCAGATTTTTAAGTAAATTTATAAAAGTGGCCGAATGCTTAAAATGGAGCTTGTTTAATAAGATCGGCTTCAAGCAAATAAATCTACGTGTTAATAAAGTGCAGTTCTTTAACATTTTTTCTGAATTAATGGTTTTGTGAAATACTCAGAAACGTGTATGTTGTGATATAAGTAATAAACTATGTTCGAAATTGTCACATATTAAATGTGACAATTTCTACTTTATACTTCAGCTTCACACACGCTATAGCTATACCAAGGAGTATATAATCACTTCGTTTTAGCTGTAGTACCATATTAAAGTTTTTAAATAGTTTATACTACGTGGTAGAGCCACGCTGCAGCAATATTAATATTATAGTTGCAGCACGAATGGGTCTGCTCGACTGGGGAAGGACCACGCTCTCACAGAAACCAGCGTAAAATAGCAGCTTAATGCTGCTGTGTTTCGTATGGCGAGTGTAGAGAACCGGAGACCCTATTTACTGGAAAAGAGGCATTCCATCTTAGTCGTCACGGCTGACTACGCATCGGCTGATGTAGATGTCTATGGGTCACAGCAACCACTTTCCATCAGATGGACTGTGTGTTCGTTTGTCACCCTTATACTAAAGTTATAAAAAATAAAATAAAATAAAATAAAATATATAAAAAAGTTTAATGTAATTTTTTTATACGCATGCATACTGGTATTAAATCATATCTTTTATATCTGTTTTTAATTCATGAAAAATTTGTTCTATGTGCAACATTTTTCTTTGTGATTCTGGTAAGTGGTTTTATATATCCATTATTTATCATTTAAATACATTCATTTATTATGCTTGTACCCATGTTTTTGGACAATTATGTATACTTACCTATTTTATAAAACAACGACTTCCACAATTGTAAATTTTTCTAAACTCAGCGAGCGATGGAAAGAGCTAAGCTCAAAATTTAGCTAATAAAATTCTTAACGAGAACATCCGCAGAAGAACAGGAGTAACTGACGTAGCCAGCAGATTAGTATGCTGAAGTGGCCATGGGCCGGCCATCCAGCTCCTAGGATCGACAACTGACGGAAAAGAAAGTGGCAGTCTCATACTCGAAAGCACGGTGATGATTAACTCCCCACTAGATGGAGTTGATGAAACATACAGGTAATTGATGGATGCGGGGGCCCAGGACCATACCTCTCACTCTGCGTTGATTGTATATAGAAATAGTAGCACACTATCGTAACTAAATTGTATAACTGTGTATGTGTCTGTGTGGGTTTCATGTTAAATGTTTTGGTTTACTTTCCGTTTTGTTATCGGTCTTCTCGAAAGAAGTTGAATAGTCATTACAAAAAAGTAATTTCTTAAACACAATGTTATCATAGTCATCATCATCATCATCTTTATCATGACAGCCCTTCACAAGTTCACTGCTGAATATAAGCACCCGTCAAGCTATGCCACAAAGCACAGTTCGGTGCCACCTACATCCATCGACTTTGTGTACCGCTTTGATACCAGGTTTTGATTATCGAAAGTACTTATTTTAGATAACTTTAAAATGTTTACTATATTTACAATTGTTAAATATACCTATGTTATAAAAAGGTAATATACTGTCTATGGGTGTAAGTGTGACGTGTGACTTTAAAATTTTACATTTGTCAATCAATTTGCAATAAAAATATTGTATCATTACAATTAATTCAGAATAAAAAGTGCTGTGAACAATTTTCGTTTGGTATTTTAGCAACAGATCAATGTTTCATTCTGTACGTCGCATATCATGTCAAATATTTTCAACATTAAAATTTTCCAAACGTTGTTTGGTAACAAATACAACTGTTCTTAAGAATGGTGTTAGAGTGGCAGTAGAAGAAACACACTCTCCTCTAGTATGCCTTTCATTATTTATTGAGACTGGCCCAAGGTTTGAAACATCAGATAATAACGGCATAAGCCATTTTATTGAACACATGGCGTTTAAAGGATTCAATTCAATGAAAAAAGATGAACTGGCTAAATGTCTCAATAATATCGGTGCTCAACTTTCTGCAACCACTACTAAAGAAATCCAAATATTTTCAGGGAAGTGTACTTCTGAACATACAACAGATTTGATTGATATTTTGTCTCAAATAATAACAAATTTAGAGTTCTCCGAGTGCGAAATTCAATTAGCGAAAGAGAATATTTTTAGAGAACTGACAGATTACGAAAATTCACCTAAACTTGTAGTATTTGATTATTTGCACCAAGCAGCATATCAAGGAACACCTTTGGCGCAACGCGTTATTGGATCTAGAAAAAATATAGAAAAATTTGATGGTTACGAAGCATTTTGTTTTATAAACAAACAGTATAAACCCGAAAATATGGTTTTAGCTGTTTCAGGAGGCATACGCCATGTGGAAATATTTAGTCATGCACAGAAAAGATTTAGTCATATTTGCTCTGATACAATTAATTATTCAAATTATGAGCTCTGTCGTTATACGGGTTCATCTATAGTGTATCGTGATGATTCGATGCCATTTGCTCATGTCGCAATAGCATTGGAGGTTCCTGGATATGGAAATCCTGATTACTGGTCCCTTTTGGTCGCAAACTGTATTTTGGGAAGTTGGGATAAAAGTCAGGGTGGAGGTGATTCTCATGGTGCTTATTTATCTCGAGCAGCTGCTACGGATAATCTCTGTCAGTCCTATGAGTCTTTTTATATTGCCTACCGAGATACAGGTCTTTGGGGCGTATACTATATAGCTCAGAGGGAAAATTTGGATGATCTCTTATATAATGTTCAACAACAGTGGATGCATTTTTGTGCAAGTATTACGGATCCTGAAGTGGAGAGAGGAGTTAATTTTGCAAAACTTAAATTGGCAAAGGAAGTTGAAAATGGTATATATTCCAGCTATGATATTGGTCTTCAAATATTATATACAAATAAGCGTCTTTCGTTGCTTGATAAATACAAAAATTTGAGTTTTGTTACTGCAAAAAATATAAAAGAGGTCGGACACAAATATATTTATGACAGATGTCCAGTAGTGTCTGCAATTGGTCCAACTGAGTGTTTGCCAGATTATAATAGAGTAAGATCTGATATGTATTGGTTGAGATATTAAAATATTTAGAGAAGTTACTATTTTTGTTTTGAACCAGTTTCTATCATGATGCTCTCTAATGTTGAAAATTGTAATGGTGAATGATATTAGGTTTTTTCTATTACTAATTCAGCACGTGTTGTTCTAGTCTGTGGACACTAATTTTTATGGCTGTTCAGAATAGAGCAAGGGAGTTTAAATAAAGCTCCATAGAACTGTTACAAGTATATTTCTGATACAATTACAGTAGATACAATTCGGTTGCGTGCCCGTTGAGATATATGTTTGAACGACCAACAAGCACGTACAAGGATTTATATATTTGAATTGAAGCGAAAGTATAGTCTATATACAATTATTATAAACTAATTATCTATGGTATGTAATATATAATATATTATATTAATAATAATAATCACATTTTGCGACGAATGCTTTATTTGTTCATAATTTTCAAAATTTTATAAATGTACTCTTATTTAAGGAGACCGCGACAATAGCTACATTTATGAACATGAGCAGAAATGCATTTGCAATGTAGCGGCGGCGTAAGAAAATACACTAACCTATATCGTCCCGTGGATGTCGTAAGAAGCGAGAGGGAAACTAAAACAAATGAGTAGCAGCAACTTTCTGACAGCTCAAAATATTAAAAAGCTTTGGTTACCAACGAGCCTGCCAAGAACAGCAACTACGGCAAATATCGATCCAATGAGGCAATTTATGGCGGAGGGTAATGTTCAGCAGTGAACTTAATATTTGCGGTAGAATAAAACAAAAATGTAATATCTCTGAAAAATATGAATGCATTATTAAAAACTGCATAAAAGCCTCAATAAAGTAAAAAGTAAAAGCCTTTATAGATCGCACTTCTAGTAACAGGCCACACAGGGTTTTGGGGAAGGAAAGAGTGCGCCGACCCAACGCAAAATGACCCACTTTACATATAAAAATATTAGCCGAATTTTTTTTAAAACTTTCTAGACATGCGGGTTTCCTTCGATTTCCTTCACTACTGAGAACAGTATAAATAAACACTTTTAAAATTTGAATGGTGTTGGTGAGGATCGGATTTGGTTTGCTTAAATATTATGAATTTACGTTTCTGTTTCTGTATTAATTTGTATTTAAGAAATTAAAGTAAGTATTTATGGTACTTTTTCTTAAGTGCTTGTTCCATTAACTCATGTGAGCTATGAAACCGGATCTGTCTCAAAATAATTTCGAAGAGGGTTTTCAACATGCTTGTTGGAGTACTACTGTACTTCAACAAGTATGTTTTAACAGTGGTAGAGCCATGCGGCAGCTTTTGCTGTCGCACGGATGGGCCGGCTCGAACCGGGGTGGTACCACGACCTCACAGAATACCAACGTGAAGTAGAGGTTTGCCTCTGCGTTTCGCTTGGTGAGTGCAGGTGGCCGGAGGCCCTTTTTACTGAAATGAGGCATTCCATCTTAGTCCTCACGGGTGACAACGTATCTACATTTTGATTTGTAATAGAGGATAGATGTAGATGTCTATGGGCCGCAGCAACCACTTACCATCAGGTGGACTGTGTGCTCGTTTGTCAACCTTATCCTATAAAAAAAACTTCATCAGCACTTCTTTCAAATATATTTTAGTTTTTAAGAGTTTATACTCAATTTTAAATATTTTATGAATAGAAATACTTAATTTAGTTAATATCTGTACATTGGAAACTGGAAATATTGTTTTCTAAATAAATTAACTTTTAAAGTGCTGAAAGAAGAAGATATTTTCGCGGAGACGTTGATTAGTGAAATCGTAAAATGCATTTTTACATAATTTAGACGTGGAACGACCAATATGCTCTCGTTACTTAGATTTTGATTGTTTTTCATACCAGTGTAATTTTATTGTGGCATATTTTTATTAAGTAAATGATACCGAATTTTATAATTATGTATTACAATAAGACGCTGTTTTTATGAGTATGAATTTATTTTCTACTGTATTATTAACAGCTATCTTTAGTGCTGTACACGTTTAAACCGAAAGATGTCGT